ACATGGATCTTTTGGGTAGGATGCCAGCAATGGATTGCTGGATCAAATGGTAGATTCACTTGTATCCTTTAAGGATCTCCATATTTGCTTTCCACAAGTTGAACTAGTTGCAGTCCCACCAGCAGTGTAGGAGTGTTCCTCTCTCTCCGCAACCACGCCAGGATTTATTGTTTGGAGACTTTTGAAAAGACCATTCTCACTGGAGTTAATGATATCTCATTGTAGTTTTGATTGCATTTCCCTGATGATTAGAGATGTTGAGCATTTTTTCATATGTTTGTTGGCCATTCTTCTGTCTTCTTTAGAAAAGTTTCTGTTCAAGTCTTTGCCCACTTTTTAATGGGTTATTTGATTTTTTCTTCTTATTTCGTGAGTTCTAAGTATATTATAGTTATCAGTCCCTTATCGGATGCATAGGATGCAAAAATTTCTCCCATTCTATGGTTGTCTGTTTACTTTCATGACTATTTCTTTGGTGCAGAAGCTTTGTAGTTTGATCATGTCCATTTATTTATTTTTGTTGCTGCTGTAATTGCCCTTTGGGACTCTCTTCATAAACTCTTTGCCTAGCGATGTCTAGGAAGTGTTTCACCAACTTTTTGTCTACGAGTTGACAATAGTTTCAGTACCTTAGTTTAAGTCGTTATCCAGCGTGGAGTGTTGATTTGTGAAGAGATGAACACGGTGTGGGTCCTGTTTTGAGCCTTCTACGCAGATGCCTATCGGGCAGTTGTCCAGCACCCATTTTAAGTGAAAGGGTCTCCTTTTCCCAGCATATGTTTTGTGCTTTGTCAATGGGTGCCGTGAAAAGGCTGTGCAGGATGCCGTCCCTGTCAGTAGGTGGTGCTTGCTTGGATGTACAGGCTATGCTGTTGTTTTTGTGTCCTGTTATCAGCTCCTTTTCTGAGCAGAGCTGGGTTGGGTAAGCCTGCCCTCAGGCACCACCAATGCCTTAGCAGGGATCAAAGTTCTGTTCTCTGCTGCCAGTAAAAGCTGTCAGGGTGGGGCTGGAATGGCCCCGCTCAGCCAGAAAGTCTGCTTGTGGGGGTGGGGCTGTCTGAGACCCGCAGTCTGGAGTGGGCCTCGCTCTTTCCACCCTCTCCAACTCTGCAGCTACTCCTGGGCCTCTGCCAGCAGGCCAGACCACACGCCCCCAGGCCTCCCTGGATTGTGATGCCGGCGGGGAGGTTCCCTGCGCAGAAATGCCACCTGGGCTGGGCGTGCGGCCTCCTTTTGGGAGGAGGGTTGCCCTCTAGGATGCTGATCTGCCCCTGAAGGCACACACACCTCAGTAGGCTGTTCACA